GTTCGCTTAATAATAAGTTTTCTTTCTAAATCAGGATAATTTTAACTGAAAAAATAATACGTTTTCAATGTCATTTAAGCACTTTTTAAATCTTCGGTTGTTAACATTTTATTGGAAGAAACTTCATTAATTTTGTCTTCATTATATTTGTCTTTGTTGCTAACAAAACTTTTCTCAGACGTCCACTAAACAATCATCGTTTCCTACATTCAATAAATAACAATCAGGATAATTTTAATTAAAAAAATATTTTTTTTAATGTCATTTAAGCACTTTTTAAATCTTTGCTTGTTAACATTTTATTGGATGAAATTTCATTAATTTCGTCTTCATTATATTTGTCTTTGTTGCCAACAAAACGTTTCAAAATCATCCATTGAATAATCATCATTTTCTAAATTCATTAAATATCAATTTCCTATAATGAGTTTTTGCATTTAACACTGGTAGCTTAATAATAAGTTTTCTTTCTAAATCAGGATAATTTTAACTAAAAAAATAATACGTTTTCAATGTCATTTAAGCACTTTTTAAATCTTCGGTTGTTAACATTTTATTGGAATGAACTTCATTAATTTTGTCTTCATTATATTTGTCTTTGTTGCTAACAAAACTTTTCTCAAACGTCCACTAAACAATCATCGTTTTCTATATTCAATAAATAACAATCAGGATAATTTTAACTAAAAAAAATAATTATTTTTCACTGTCATTTAAGCAACTTTTAAAATTTTGGTTGTTAACATTTTATTGGAAATTTTTTTTCATTATATTTGTCTTTGTTGCCAACAAAACGTTTCTAAATCATCCATTGAACGAACAATCGTCATTTTATATATTTAATAAATTACAATTTCTTATACAATTTCCTATGCATACGTGGATTGTTGTTGGTTAAAATATATTTTATGTTACTACTGTATTTATGTTCGTACGTTTATCGTCATTTTAATAATGCTTCTGTAATATTAAACGCGTAATACCATTATCCGCATTCATAATAAATATAATCTACAGGATTTTCTTAGGTACATTACGTTCTTGATAAATAATGCCATAAAATTATCGTAATACAAATATAAGGAGAGCCTCGAAATCGGATTAGGAAAATAAAACGGCGGTCATGTAATAAATTGTCGATTAATTCAGGGACACTTCTGGGAGGGCGGAGGTGTGTAGTGTAATAATAATGTAGTATTAGTGTTCAGATTTGAGTTTGGTCGAGAAGGCAGATAGGTAGTAAAGATAATTTTGGGGGAAACGTTTAATAATTTAGCTCCCTCATATTATTATGCCCTGCGGATACGAGGAAAGGTTGTCTCAGCCGGAAGCTCCCTTGACCCAAGCCCATTTCGCTCGCTTCAAACTATGTAACAATCTTACCGAAAGGGATGAGAAGAGAAAAAAAANGCATAGTAATAATATTCATAAATTGAGTAATGAAAATGAATAAATGAAATATTTTATACACTAAATGTATTAAATTTTTATATTTGCATTAAAACTCTATTATCACTAATACTAAAAATATCTTTCAATGTATTTTTTCATAATTCATAAATTAGTAAAAATGCAATTATTTTATTAAAAGTATTTATAATATAAAAAGCGAAATGATTGATATCAAATATATCAAATACTGAGATATTTCTATCAACTTAAATGGGAAGAGTTCTCTGTTTTGCTATGAATAATAAACGTTAATGCATGGAAGGAATCATTGTATTTGAAAATAAGATATTGGTAGTAAAGTAAAGAAAAAATACATGGAAAATAGTTTCATTTTGGACATAAGTGAGTGAGCGATATATCAGAGACAGACATATTTTATGTTTACGATTTTTGAATTTATTTTCGCTGAGAAAATAATTTGATATATCGAGTTTGCCGTGCGATATTGATTTAGGGATCGGAAACGGCGAGATGTTATTGTTTTGCGCCGAGGAGGAATGTTTTCCTTGAGTTATCGACAGAGATTTGTAGGTAGCGCCCTTTGTTTGCTGCTGCAGGTATAGATCGGTCGTACCGGTCCGACGATACGGAGGATGCCGTGACAACAGACAACCCGACGACTCCTTTCCCGACGCCTCCACCCACTGTGATGTCCCCGCGGTCTCCTCTACCCCTGCATAGGCAGGCATCTCCATTTCCGCTAGAGAACACAAACTCCAGGCGGATCATATACGCAACGCCTCAGGATCGACTCCGTGGGAACAACGGTACGTATATGCGGAGCACCGCATCTTTCCTCCATCGTCTTCCTCCTACGTGGAAGGATAGTAATGTTTGAACAATTCCGTGTTGATTGTAGGGGAGGTTGTGTATGGAAGCAACAAGAAAACCCTGTCGAATAACACCTTGGGGCGCAGCGGCAGACGCCACAGGAGCGCCACAGGGGCAGGAGGCATGACGTCTTCGAGCAGTGCAACGTCTTGCAACAGTTGCACGGACAGCGGACGCAATGATATTACTTACCATGGCGAACCGCAACAGAGGCTTTGTCTAAATAATGGTAAGACTCTGATGAGGCAGACATCAGATGCGACATCCAACCAACCCATCCCTCTATTTTCCTCTTCTCTACGCTCCTCTCCACTAACGCAATTAAAGCGCAGCCAGAGTCAAGATAATGAGTGACGACTCTTAATTGGTTTAGTCGGATAGGTAGTGCCACTACAAGCATCTCGCATCGCTTAACCAAATTACGCCATTATCTATAACGCGATGATGCAAAAGGAATGTTGCCGGGAAATCGAATTCGCTCGAGTTGAAATCCCATACACTTCCATGTACATATATATATAGTATGCACAGACACGTAGGGCGCTGTGCATTGAAAAATTTCTGCTCTCGCACTCACCAAGTTTATAATTAGATTGGAATTTCACTGGACATTGTCCATCGCACCGGAATATAAGCGCCCACTCTCTGGTGACAATCCATTAACTGGCTTAAATTGACTCTCCCCCCTTGCATTTTCGGGCCAATCCAATTGCAATCCCAAGAAATCTTTCCGTGTTGTTTCACATGAAATATAATTAATTGGCCCGGAGGGGGTGCGCTAAACTTACCCTCGTTAAAGTGGCACCACTTTAACGGTCAAGGCTCAAAGATGGATGGATGCACTCTCTCACACTCACCCCGGATTAATACTAGACTATAAACAAATCATCCGCGCATCTATCTAAATCTTTCTTTTCTAACTTATATTCAATTAAAAGGGGAACGGAGGAGGGGGATTAGTGTATACCGGGAGTATCGGCAATCCATCATTGCGCCATGTTCTTATTTCAACGAAGACACAATCTAATCACTAATATCCTATCGGTCTATTCCCTGCAGATGAACCACCCACCCGTCAATCGATACAGTCTGATAGGTTTATAAATTTCGTCTAGTCATGATATATAATTTTCGCTGCACTTACATCATGACATGTTTATGTAACACATTTACTTATATTTCATTGTGAAACTCCTAAAGTGTATATTTATATGGAATATTCTATACGATCGGCTTTTATTGTTATAGATGTGAACGAAGAATCTCCGCCGGAGCCTGCACCCCCAGAGGTCCCCCCTCGTGGACCTTCACTGCATGCGGCCACGTTGAGACGTAGGGCAGATTACAACCTTCCAGTCGGTGAAGCGAGCCAGAACGGACAGCAGGAGTCCCAATTCCTGTCCCAAGGAGGTCAGTTAATTAGTAATAGGAAACGTCTATCCTCACTATAATTTAGCTCGTCAGCAGTTAACTCACTAAGCCAGTCGCTGAATACTAATTCACTGTTGCTGTTGCAATTTATTGACAGTCTCACAGCATCACTTTTCTTCTTTCCTTCCCTCTGGCCTTACTTCCTTTGTGCTATTTCGTAAGCCCTTCTGAGGAATCCTCCGCGCACCGTCGTCACTTTTTCTGACGCCACCTCTAATCCTTGAGCACAGGCCGTAACTCATCAATTGTACGCAAATGACGTTATCAATAACGGAACTCGATATTGATGCCTCTCTCTTTCTCTCCCTTCATATTTTTTTTTATACGACCGACCGCCCTTATTCTCACGCCCATTGCGGCTTAAAAAGAAAACTCCTTAATCAACAACACTCTGATTCCACATCGCAATATTTCATAAAAATCAATATCTCACTATTATTAAGACATTCTCCCCGGTGTCCTATTTATGCACCAACCACGAAACCAATAAATAACCCACGCCATATAATGGCATAACGAATTTTCTCATTGTGGGTGCGCCTAAGGGTCGATTCTTAACGATACATAGCTATTCTAAACACTTTTCGCTGTAGTCAATTTTATTAATAAATTACTTAATCAAATATATAACTTTTACTAATATTTTAATCAGTTAAATACTTATTTAAACTTACAGTTTCAAAACTTTTGGAAACTTCTAATAAAATCTCGTAGACATTAGTATGGATAGTATGAAGTTTCCCTACTTGATCCCAAGAGATAGATGAGTGAAAAGTTTGTTACTATATATTTCATTGATGGACGGTCAAATTTACACTTCTTAACTTTAAAATCGATTTAAGGGTGATTTTTAATGTTGACAAATTATAAATATTTACTTTGGTTCAAATTAAATCCGACGTATATCTCAATTATTCGATGGAATTTAGAATACGTCGATAAGAAACTAAAGTTAGATAGATTTCGTTTCTAGTATCGAGGCCTGAATAAATGCAGTAGCAAACAGGACTCTTAATTTGAGTTTTCGATTACCCGGCATCTCATTCATTCCAATGAAAGCACTCTTCGTTAGTCTGTCCTAATTCTTCATTGCGATCGGGCTATTTATTCTAGAGGTCTCGATTTTCTAAGATACTTTTCTACGTGCGTAATTGGAATTTGGCTGTATATGAAGCCAATCAAAGAAAATCTTGATTGGTTTTTTTGTTGGAAAAATGGAAAAAAAAAATACGAGTCGTACGAATAAGCTTTCCATAGAATATAGTGAATAGCAAATACGCCAGTCCTTATTTCTTCCCCCCATGTCAGTTTTTTTTATGTTAATTTAAATTGACACTATTATTATCTATCAATTTTTAATGAATAAGTTATAACTGTTTCATTGTATGCACTCTTATCCTTCCTTGCAGTAAGATGTATTATCAAAGCAAATGGTAGTAATTAAATTTAAGTATAATCTATAAAGGGTAATTAAAAGCCCTTTGTTTACTCCGTTCCTGCGCTGGGTGTTCAGTCGCAAGACAGATGTAAACGTTTCGTTGATGATGAAACTAGTTCGTTGGTTACAAAACAGACGACTCCTAGTTTGATTAATGCCGTCGAATTTCCAACATTAATCACAAGAACACAAAGCCGCCAAGATATTCAAATCGAAAAAAAAGAAATATATCCAAACAGAAAACAAAACATTCATCATTATTTACCCTGCAGCCGTTTTCCGTCCTTAATTTTCTTCCCCATTTGACAAGCCCGCAAGCAAAACAAAAATCCTGCCGCCACGTGCATCCCAACAGTAATTACTGTCACATTATATCGGATTCGGAAAGTTTCCTGCGGCCGCAAATCCAATCCGAATCAAGGGCCCGAAGGATTTAATCGAATTTTTGTATTATTTATCTAAGCAAGGGATGATAAAGTAGAAGTAGTAGTAGTACTGGACGGTAGAATGTAATAAAAAAAAGGAGCAACTTAATTACAAGTTTTGCTCACGGATAAACTTCGGTAGAATGTAATAAAAAATTTCCCATCGATTTCTTTGGCAGGGATATAAATTTGTGATTTAAATGATTTTTTTTTTGTTGATTTTCATCATTATATTGCATTCATTTGCATTACATTTATTTTGTTTGATTGTATTTTTAATATATTTCTACTAGAAGGATTTAGCGTAGGAAGAATGTTAAAAAGTTGCGTTTTTCGTAAGTAAGCTTCGTGGAATTTTCCCGGGCCGTTAAAGTTTCCAAAGAATATTTTGAGTGGCATGTGGCATAAGAGCATTTATAAATTGCGCGATGCAAAAAGGGCTTTGTTAAAGGGCGAGGTGAAAGGAAAGATGGCAAGGGAAACAAAACAAAGTGGAGGAGGAAAAAAGAATCAAAGCACTCGTGTGGCCACATAATTGTTCGGAAAATGTGATTAGGATAAAAGCGCCGTTAGCCAGTGGCGTCGACCACGGCAGATCGGTCAACTATGAGCGTCGTCGTCGAGTATTGACCCGAAACACTACCCCGCCGCCGTTCCTGTGCCCTTCTCACTCACCCTATCTCTCTCTCTCTCTCTCTGTCTCTCTTGCTCACTCCCCTCTTCGAACAGCGAGCTACATCGACGCTTTTCCACCCCACGTCAGCCTCTCGCTTCCCTATTTTCATTCCAGATTTCCTTCTTCAACTTTATTGACTCTCATAAATAATAGCTAGATATATCTACCTTTATTTAAATAATATAAAAAACAAATCGAATAAATATATTTGATAACATTCAAATTGTTAATAATTATTCAAAATATATTTTCAACATAAAAATATTTTGATAAAAAAAAAATTAATAACAATTTATATAACGCCAACTATATTTAAATATGATAGGTTATTAAATTTCCAAATATATATTTGCAATTATTATATTTGAAATATTAAAGTTTTGTTGATTTAGATTCAGTAGGAATTGAAATTAATTTATTTTTCAAATCTTACTGTTACTATTCAATTAATGTTTAAATTACAATAATTTCTTATTGTTTTGGAACCCCTTTAAAAAGCTAACTGGAAGCTTTTAGAAAATAATTTCGTAAAGAAAATATAATAAAATATGAATTTCCTGTTCAGTGTTCAGATATGAATGAAGTGTGTTATATTCGTAGTGATGAATCTGTTAGTTAAAATTGATTGGGCCATTTGGTAAGTGGGGTGCTAACGAGGTGGGTGAGATAACGCGGGGTGGGTATTCCCCGAGGAATGGCGCGAGAAGGCCGGTGTCGAAAAGCGTGTTTATAATAGCTGACAGTGAACATTTCTCATCGAAGAGGAGCCGCACGTGTTTTGCGAAAATTTGATTCCGAACGGATCACCCGAAACCCAGGACCCGGAACCTGGGACCGGGTATTCAGAAACCCTCTCCTTCCACCCCTCCACCCCTTTAGTAGCCTGTACATTTTAATTGTTTGGGGTGGCCACTGGTACATGAAATATGAAGTGCACGCACGGCCGCCCCCGCTGAACAACC